GAACCGTTCCAATACAACCTTATAAAATCGCGCGAAGTAATAAGTATAAAAAAACGGCACGAATGTTATTGAGAGACTAGTTATATATATATATATATAATGCGTGGATGACTTGTGACATCTGGCTAATGCAGCCATCGACGGCTTCTTAACAGTTTCGTTTACCCAAGTTTGCAGGAAAGGCTTCGGCTAATATGTGATATTGTTTTCAGTCACTTTCTAACAGGGTCCAACGTTTGGATCGCCTTTCCAGGTCGATATTATCAGAAGTCGACTCCTTTAAAAATTGGCCATGGGGTGATTCAAACTCGGGTTTTATTGTTCGGGGCGATAAATTTTTTAACCATATTTGTGTTTATCCTTCTCTTTCCTTTTCTCTCTCTCTCTCTCTCTCTCTCTCTCTCTCTCTCTCTCTCTCTCTCTCTATATATATATATATATATATATATATATATATATATATATATATATATATATCGGGTGTAAGAGCAAAATTGTTTAAATCGTGTTACAGCATATTTCTTCATCTCACAAAATGTTTAATATCTAAATCTAAATAACCACTAAGCAAATTGAGTTTTTTTTCCCCTGGTATTCAGATGAGGACGTTAACCATCTATTTGTCGTAAGAATCACTGAAAAACCCTTTGAGCTATTTAGCTAGAAAGAAAGCAGATTAAAATCATTTTGTGCCAGCCCCACTATGCCTTCCCAACTGAGCAATGGTGAGAGGAAAAAGATCACTCAGGCCTTTAGTAATTGAATCAGCCTTCAGACTCTGGCTTCCATCTTCAAAGTCCATTGAAGAACCATCAAAAGAACGGTGAATAAGTTTAAAAAAGAGAGAACAGTAGAGAGGAAAACTGGATCAGGAGGTCACAACAGGAAGAGGGATCATCATTTCAACTTAGAACTAAAGCGGTCAAAGACCAACTCAATCCATAAGACTTTTGGCACGTCAGTTTCAGCTATGACAGTCCAAAGAGCAATGCGAAAAACTTGGTAATGAAATCGTACGTGAAACCTGAGAGGCATCTTGTTACTCCAGGACGGAAAGTTAGAAGGTTAGAGAGGGTGAAGATCATCTTGTATATGTTGGAAAATGATCCTGAAATAATGTGTGTGTGTGTGCACGCGCGTGTTTGTGTGTTTGTGTTTGTATGTTTGTTTGTGTGTGTGTGTGGGGGGGTGAACTTTATTTTAATACTTCATGAGCTTCTGATCCTTAGCTATGATTAATTAATGATGAACATGTCATTTTCGTTTGGCTAACAGCGAAATGTTTTTATTATCATGTCTCTTATGACTTTGGTTACCTGACCCTAGCAAAGAGGGTCGCCAGGGAAAGACTTTTTTTTACAACCCGGTCATTTTCGACAATACGTCTATGTATGCGTGCAAAGGTTTCACACAACCCATAGAATTAAATAAAGAAACGTTGAGTTAGGTGTTTTGAAAGGTTATGTTTTGAAAAATAAAAAAATATTTATGTAGTTTCACACTTTTGTTACAGATTTACTGATGTAATGCTTTAGAAATGTAAAAAGTTTATACTATTCTTTTAGCAATCCAAAGGCAAGATAGTTGGTATTAATGACAACGGTAAAAACCTATAATTCATATCTGATTTTATCAATCTATAATTAATACCGGGGGGGGGGGTTATAAACTTAATATTAATACGGAATTATTATCAAGTTAATGTTTAAATATCAAGTTAATGGTAAGATTGTTAAA